TTTATATTCATCATTATTAGTTAATCGAATCTGGTGTAAAGTTACTATACCTATACTTTGGGAATTACCTTTTGGTCAAGAATGTCGTGCAAATGATAGGAAGTTGTGGAAGAAAGCATTATGTATTCGAACTTATATATCATGTATGGATACTCAAGCTAGAACTTTACTTATTCGAAAAGGATTTGATTTATCATCATCACCACCTCAAGCCACTTTTGATTATCCATCATTCACTCATAAATTAATAATTAATAATTTAGTTTATTTTATTTCCATATATTCACAACGAATTATTGGTTCAAATCGAGATAACAAAAACAATAGTAATAACGAACTGAAAATATTATTTCGTGAGATATGCAAAATTATAAAATTTGTTGAATCTTTTAAAATGACGGAAGTTCTCAATTACATTACCAATTCTAAAAATTATCTTAAATATATTGATTCACTTCTCAAGTTACCTGGTTCCCCGAAGAAATTAAAAAGAAATGATAGACTGATTAAACCATTGATTTATGATAATATTTTAAATATGGAATTATATTTGGATTCAATCCCTAAAATGGAATTATTAACAAAATTTATTAACGTTCAAAAACGGTTAGAAAATCTATCAATTATTAGTAATCATTATCTAAAATTTGATTCAATATTTTGGGCTGTCATTAGTCAAAAAGAAAAATTAAAGAGTCTTCGTTTAAAATCAGTAAATTTTTATAATTTCAAGGGAAAATTAACACCAATTGGACAATTTATTTCAGAACTTTATATTGAAGATTGTCGTGGATTGCATGAATCAGATTGTTTATTCTTTGCTTCATCATTTACTCAATTAAGTAGTTTTCGTTTTCGTTATACATTTGATGGGTATCCTCAATCTCGAGAATTTATTATAAAAATTCTCGAAACGGCCAATATAAATTTAAGAAATATTCGTCTAGATTTATATCCCGCAATTTCATTTGATATATTTTCAGCAATTTTAAATTATTGTACAAATGTTACCAAATTATCTTTATGTAATTTAAGTCCTAAACAAATAATAGAAATATTTAATAATAATTTTAAAGAATTAAGAAGATTTTCATTTGATTTTGGAGACAAATTATTTGATCCTAATGAAATATTATGTCAAATGGCGGAAAATATACCAAAATCAATTGAAATTATTAAAATTAAAATGGATTATGATCCATGGATGTTCAGTGCCGAAAGTTTAAGAAAATTCTTTGAAGGGTGGTGTTGTAAAGGAGGAAATAAAAAGATTATTGTAAAATGTACAGAACAAGCGCGACTATTTACATTAAGTGATGAATATTTTAAAGTTATTGAAGAATATGGAGTAGAGTTCAATTTGATATAGAAGGATAACATTCTACATAATATTTTCAACAATAATATTTTAATTATAATACCAAATCATAAAATATATTTAGTTAGTGTATTTTGTACTATTTATTATTTTGTTAAGTTGAATATGAGAAATATTGAAATATCAAAAACATTATATACTAAAAATCAACGGTACATAAAATTGTTGACATAATTTTATAGGATTTATTATTTATAGCTTATATTTTTAAAAACATCATATTAATTTCATCGTTAAGATTAAAATCACATTAAATTAATCAATGTTAAAATTAAAATAATTTAAAAATAGTTAATTAGTTGAAAATATAAATAATTATTTTAATGATTAATGAGTATTTGCTTGATATCAACATAATAGTTAAGTAATTCATTTATATTTATGATGAAATGTATAACGAATGTGACTTAGAATCTGGTGATAAATATTTTCACAACATAATATTTCTTGGTAGGAATGATTATCGTCTTTCACGTGATCATTTGCGTCTAAAATCATTTTACATTCTCTTAAAATCGACAACAAATCATTGAATGTATAGTTTAATTATTGTTGATCTAGAGATTTTATTTAAATTCCAAACTTCAGTGGCTCAACATAAATCTCTGCTATCTCTCAAAATGAAAAGATTTTAGCATTTTGTCTACTAAACAATCACAATCAGAATGGTAAAGAGGAATTTCTAATTGTAGTATGAATTTATTTATCAACATTTGAAGATTCCATACGTCTAATTGATTATTCCAAAACTCTGAAACTCCTAAAAATGGATGTCACACATAGATTAATGGTATAAATGTGGCACACCAAAGCAAAAAATTTTTCAATATCGGATTCTGCTCAACTAATTATTTCAAACAAGTATGGAAATGTCGTAATAATGCTATTGATAAGCGTCATAATCGAGTATTAGAATACATCCGAGCTCAGAATAAAGTGATAGATGTTCGCGAACTAAGGATTTGAGAACGAGAATTTGTTTGGCCAAATAATGTAAATGTTCTTGAAGAGGATATCGAGCCCTTTATGTATTAGGATAGAAGAAATATTTTGTGTAGGTTATGGAAATGTCAATAAAATTAAATATTTAGTTAAATGTACACAAATCTTAGTATGGCCAAAATATCGATAATTTTGTGATTAACAAATATTAGAAATATCCTATTAAAATTATCAAGAATGCTTAATAAAACGTATGAAAAATAATAGTAATAATAATAATATTGATATTTATACCGAAGTTATAAAAATGAGCAGAAGAAGATAGTAATGGATAAAAACCGAAAGATTAAAGTCATGCTATCGAATGTTTTCAAGAAAGCAGTAATCTTAAAATATTTAATAGATTATTATACTAATAATGCTAAAGAATATAATAATTATGGTTGGGCATCTACTATAAGCAAAGCAATTCCTTTATTAATTTAAGTAAGTCAACATCTTTTTCTTTACACTTAATGATGGATTTATTATTCAAATTGAATTAATATTCAAAAAACAAGAATTGCTGAATCTTATACTCCACCATTACATATTAATCCTTATGGTCAAAAGAAAGGAAATAACACAGCTGTGATACATTCTTTGGCAGTAAAATTGCGTCTTGCATCAAAGTTCCATAATATTTTATGGTTTTTCCTAGAAAACCTATTCACAAGGTAATTATGTAAAAAATTATTAATCTTTGTAGATTCTTTATTTTAAAAAAAATAAAATAAAACGTTTTGATAAGATTGAGGCTTCGCGTAATGATCGTAAAGTTTATATCCATTAACTAATTTTTGATCTCAAAGATACAGTGAAAAATTATTCAAAATGTTTTTGGTTTCTATTTACACTTTTTCGAATATCTTTGCCGCGCGTAGAAAAGTTATTAAGAATACTATAAAAAGAAGTCCCTCCCTTCGTATCATTCATCTATAATTATAACAGTTTTAGATTTTAAATGGTCAGCTGCCCGTCGATATTTTATTCGGCATATACATGTATTATATTCATCAAAAATAGCTTATTGATGAATTAAATACAATAATAAAATTTGCCTTTTTGTTTATACCAGATGGCATATAATTGTTATCTTTTCCTTGTATTATCTTTTATTCTTTTCTGTCCGTTCTAATATTTGTTCTTATAATAAAAATAACAATAGAAAAATATAATATTAGATTCTTATTCCAATTCCATTTAACATATGAATTATACTAAACAACATGCTAACTTGCCGTAAGATTTCTTACTTTTGTTTTATATTTTATATTTATATTGAATAGAAATTGTTCTGCATGTTCTTTGTTCTTTTTTTAGAAATCTTGTAATCCCGATTCTCTATGTTTTTAAGGAGGAATTTCTTTAACTATGTTCATTATTTCTTTCAATCCATGTATCATTAGTGTCTTATCGATTGCTGGGATGTCATAAAAAATTGCTGATACGGTCTAACCTCTATATAATCAAACCCTCGGGGTACAAAAACAAGTGACTATAAAGAGATGTGACAAATATAGGTCTTTTTACATTGCATTAATAGACGTTGGTTTTATGAAAACTGTGACTATTAAAGAGATGTGACTATATAGGAGTTGACTATATAGAGGTCAGACTGTACTTCATATTCATCTCTGATCTATAATCAACTTATTTATTTATACTTAGAATATAGCTGATAGATGCTTAAAACAAAATTTATTTTTTTTTTTGAAAATAAATATAATCAATGTTAATGAATAAATAATACAAAGTTTAATATTACAATTTTATGACCCAGAATTTAAATAAAGAAAAGTTATGCATAATGAATTCCAATCAAAATATTAACATATTTTATTCCATGTACATAAAGTACCTTAATATTAATAAAGTAATTAATAATAAATTTTATCAACGTATTACTTCTTAAAAGATACTATTTGAACTTCTTTTTGTTAAACTATTTTTTTTCACTATTTTCTTCTTTTGACATCAATTGAATGTGTGATATTTATTTGTCTGAAGTGAAATTTCTTTCAGTATCTGGTTCCTGAAAATCCTCTTGATTCTGTATACTTCCATATTCCAAAGTTCCATGTCGACATCTTTTTATTGCTTGAAACAATCTGCCAATAATATTTATTAACAAGCTAAGACAAGAAGAGGCGAGAGCAAGTAGAGGAATTATATCATATGCAACCGCCTTTCGTTAGTATAATATCTAAGATATTTAAAATTTTTATAATTAGAAACCAGATCAGAATAATAATTTTATTTATATAAATGAAAAAAAATAATTTGAAGACTCACCTGAATGATCACTTGCGGTATATCTTCAACAAAAATGGCTAAACAAGAAGCCCAAAAGATTGTATTTTTTCCTTTTGTTGAAAATGGAGCTTGGAAAAGTTTAAATCCGGCTATATTTGAATAGAGAATACTTAATGTTTCGATGTCAACCCATGAAAAGCTGTGAATACTGATGCCAACTTTTCATGATGTCGCGTGAACCAATCCAAGAAAGCTTTAGATTTGTTATCATCATTGATAATATAAAATGACAAAATAATGTTGATGCCGATTGGAACAATCAAGAATACGACACTATTTATATATTTATATAAGTTTTTAATAAATAAAAAGTAAACATAAATATATAAATAGACAGATATGAATATATATTGACTGATAAATTTGCCTTGGAATATATAGTACTTCAATAACTTTACCATTCTTACTGACAAAAAGGACATCCATTACAAAATCAAAAATAATTAATCCAAGTTGTAAAACAGCAATGTTATGACACTTTAAAGGATGTCCTTTTTTACCTTGCTTTCTCTTTTTTGTGCTATTAAAAAAAAGAACCACTAAAATTGCAAGTGTTAATATAACACTCAAAAATCTCCACTTGTATTTATCCCAATCCAATAACTTTTCTGATGAAAAAGGAACATCTTAAAGAATGACTAATATAATGATATCATGTTGATAAGTTAAAAATCAATATTTACTCACGAGTATGTTTAAATCCAAAATCTCCATCTAAATACTTTGTGGTAGGTTTCAAACCTATGGAAGTCATGTTTTTATATACAATCATGTCATTTAAATCTTTTAAAATAGAGTCTGCACTTCTTTCTTTGGATGATTCAATATTAAGTGAAATCAATATTTGGCGACTAAGACTACAGTGGTATCAACTTGGGTTTTTTTCCCTATTGAACTTACACTCTAGTAAAAGTATTTGTGGAATGATAAAATTCGAAAATAATTTCTAAAATTAAAATGCTAATTGTGGTACAATTAGTGATCTAAATTGTACAAACTTTTTTTATTAAACTAGAGCTATCTTATGATATATTTTGTGATATAGTTGAACATCACTACATAGAGATATTACTCTTAAAATGAAACTGACAAAAAATAATAAATTTATTCTTAGACCGCTACCAATACCGCATTCGATGGGTATTAAAGATAGATACCAACTATTTTATACGAAATTGTAGCTAAAAATAATATCTACAATTTTAATTATTGACGTTTTTCTCAGTACCTAATAAAAATGTTGACTTCACTTAGATGTGAATAAAAACGACCGAAATTTAATAAAATTTTAAAAAAATAAAAAAAATTCGAAAATAATTATATCGATCGTTTA